TGGTTTTACAATGTTGTAAAAGATTTTGCTATTTAGATTTTTTTCGGTGTAGCCTCCTTCTCAAACCGAGTACAACCGAACTTTAATTTTTTTGGTTTTTAAAATTAAATTTAGGTACTACCTATACAAACTAAAATAAAAATTTTCAAAAATAAATAGTTTGAAGTCGAAAATAACATTCCTTGCTGCTCTTAAGGACTTAACGCATATAAATCGGTACACCATAAATTCTACATTTCCCCTATTTAGACCGATAGCAAATAACATAAGAAAGGATATCCCTATAGAGCTACTACACTGCGCGTCAAAATTAACGCATAATAAGTAAAAAAAAATTTAAGTCTAAAACGCCTTCACCAATCTTTATAAAATTTTTTGTTTACGTGTTCAAGGGTTTTTCGAAGAAATATCCTTAAAGCCCTTTTATTTAATAATGAAAAAACGCTCAAAAAAAACTTTCACGCTTTACAAAAAACATCTGAAGGTCAAACGTTTTAAAGCGATTAAAAATAACACTAATACAAATTTTCAAATATTTTTTTGTATTTTATTTGAAAATATTTGAAATTTTTTATTAGTGTTATTTTTGATCGCTGATATCTTTGAAACGGTTGATCTGAAGAACTTTAACCTTCAGATGTTTTTTGTAAAGCGTGAAATTGTCTATAACTCCTCTCGCTTGTGTGTTGCCATTCCAAAGTTATAAGAATTCAAAGTTAAAAAAATAAAAATTCACGTGTTATTGAAATGCAAAAACAACAAATGAATTGAGGCAAACCTTAATATTAATATTTCAACACCATTGGAAAAAAAACAATTATTTTTTTAACACCCTAATAAACATATACCACATAATAAATAAACTTTTATCTTTGTATCTACTACGATTTAGTATTTTCCATAATAGAATTAATAAATTATTTTATGAAATAATTACTTTCTGGGCTTCCAGTAAATGGCAACCAAGAGGCCTCAAATTTAGTACTATTATTATTACTTAATCACATATAAAAATTACTTATGTGGAGGGAAGATTCCACAATGTTTTTTTCTTCATGTGCAATTTAAACTACCAACTTTTAACTGCTCACTACAATTTTTGTAACATAAGTGCACCTGCGCGAATATAGTTAAGGGTTAATAGTAATAATAAAACCATCAATAACAAAATATGTTGGGGTACATTGGTGGGTAAATTTTTTCCACCTGGATTTGGATAATAATAAATAAAAAACAAAGCTTTGATTAAATTACTATTTTTATTTTAATAAAAAAATTAAATATAGTCAGTCATGCATCTATAATTTATAATTGGAATAATATTTTTATATAATGTTATTAAACATTTTAAAATCTGTTTATTCAGCCTTTATTTAACCACATAGAAAGGTATATTCTTTAGTTTTATACAACATAACAATATAAAATTAACTCTATAAATGTAATAGCTAAATTATTACTATTTAATACACGAAGTAGGTATATATTTTTGGTAAAATACTGAACTATTGATGTCAATTTGGCTTTATATACAACTAAAAAATTAAACGTTTTCTAAGATTATGTCATCTAATAAAACTTATAAAATGTAAATGTTATATTTGCCATGGTTCATTAAGAAAATAGGTAGGTATAATAAGAAAAAATCAATATGTAAATTGAAAAAGTAATTATAAATCATTTGAACGTTACAAAAGAACGAAATAAATCTTAAAAACGCCACAATGATAAACGGGTTCGTGTTCTGAAATAAGTTATCGATGAAAATTGTGAGCTGAAACAAGAACTACGTAAAAATTTATCGAAGGATCCAATGTCATGTTAAAAGTTTAAGGGATTTTAATAATGTAAAAAATTCGTGGAAGTTTATTTAAACGTGTTTTTTAATATAAATCTCATAAAGGTGTGTTTGTAAAACTATAGGTTTAAAAATTAAAAAATAAACTTAAATTGAGTTTAAAAGAAATATGTTTATAGTTTTTTAAGCTCTGTGAAATATGACAATATTAAAAAGAATTGTATGTTTTACAAAACTTTTATAATTTTTAAAAGAAAAGCATATGGATTAAAGTTGACTTTGGAAATCAGTAACAAATTAAAACTTTTATCCTCCGAACTTCACAATATATCAGAGTTAAGTAATCAGAGATATCGAAAAACTTTTAAGTCCTTAAACTTTTGCAAAACTTTTATTTTTTTAAATAAAGGTAAATCTGTGCTATTTCTACAATTTACCATTAGACATTTAAAATAAATACTGTGAACATAGTTATAATTAATGAATTCAATTATAAAATGTTTTTAATTTAAATTGGTTTATCTGTCTTATAAACCACCAAATTATTACTTATGGTTTCTTGCAACCGCTTTACATGCAATTTTATAATTGTTTATTTATTATAATGACATAATCTTACAAAACTTGTTATAAAGAATAAATTTGACAATTGATAAAAATAATTTTAAATTAAATATTTACCTATTTTAAATTAAACACAATTATTTTCAGAATACCTTAAATTAGGATTCCAATTCAAAATACCTACGCTACTGTTAATTTATCTTTATCAAATAATCAAATTAAGTCGGATAAAAAATAAATAAATATTAAATTAATTTATAAAACCTTTAAATTAATTATTTTAAACTCATAAATATTAAATACCCTACTTATTAGTTGTACAATAAAAATAGCTCTGATTTTAAATTACAGCCCATTGTAAAAAGAAAATATTAATTTAATAGTTAATAAAAATATAATTTTCTAATTAACAATGTGTCTCCAAATTTCATTTACAAATAAGAAGCATTCTTCCTAAATGCGATTTGTCCAAAAATTCAACTTTTAAGAAAAAATATGGCTTTCTGTTCCTAAAACTAAGGCGCATCTTTTAACAGTACCCTGTATATTCCAAACGCGTCTAGTCCTACGTAAATCTTCTGCAAAAGTTGCTCTGGACATTCAACGTGCATTTATGAAAACGCGTTTTGTCATTTCCTACGCTAGTGTTGCAAAATCAGTACCTATATACAATAAAATCACTGGAAAAGTACTGGGAGCTGTATTCTAAAATTGGAGAAGTTTGAGATACATATTTTTGTTTTTGTTCCAATAAAATATCTCAAACGGTTTTGGAGCTAGAACAAAATTACCAGAAAACTATTGGGGAAAAATGTATTTAAGGTGAAAGGTTTGGAAAGCAGAAAGTTAGAAACCCGCTACACTTTTTGTCATTTGTCCAATTCTATATCTTCTTTTATCAGAATAATTGAAATCAAAATATAGTCTTTTTGATCGTTTGTATTTTGTACTAATATGGCGTTTTTTACTTTAAAATACAGTTTATCAAGATCTACACTTTAAAACAAATCCGGTTAAAATCGCACAATAAATAAAGATTTTACAGGGGTGAGTCGCAAACAATGGGTCACACTGTATATTATATTCTGATTTAAAGATATTTTTAATTGCCTAGATTTTTTTTTGCGTATAAATTTATATATGTACAAACTTGGATAGGTATAAACTAGCTGGATAGTTTATAAACTAGCCAAACTGTTAGCTATTTTAAATGAAAACGTATTTTTAACTAAATTAGCGGCTAGTTTGTAAACCAACCAAGGGTCTTGGCTAATTTACTTGAAATTATTTAGAAAACTGAAATAGGTAGCTGGATACTTGTAAACTATTCAATTCAATTTGGCTAATATGAAAACCAAAATTTCTATAGTAACACAAAATAGCCAAGCTTTAGATAGTTTACAATCTAACCAACCAATCTTCTAGCTAATTTATTATTAACTGATTTTTTTATTGGCTTGGCGGGGTTTGTATATTTTACACATACACATAAAAACACTATTAATTATAATTGAATCGGTGAGATTAAGAACAGTACATGTCCAAAAATTTTATTTTGACAGATCATTTTCTAAAATCTATTTAAAAGTTTAAAATGCATTTTTGTGGAAAGATATAAATTATTTTACAAAATTTAACTATTAAATTTTATAAAATAGTTGTAATGCATTTTGACCTAAAAAACTGATTTTATGAAATAATTTGTAAAAATTTTAACTTTTGGACTTGTACTGTTCTTAATCTCACTGATTCAATTATAGTTTAAATGAATTACATACATTTTTCTAACGTCTCTTGTAAACTTACCATTATAATAAGCATGATAAAAATGCAGTAAATAAAAAAAATAAATTTAAAACCCAATCCAACCTAAATTTTATCTTATTACTAAGAAAGAATTAAATTCCTTGCATTTTAAGAGAATTGGTTGGTTAGTTTACAAATTAGCTAAAGCATCAAAATAGCCAATTGGCTATTTTGAGTTACTAGAAATTTTTGTTTTTATATTAGCCAAACTAAATTGGATAGAATTTAAACTATCCAGCTATTTTAGTTTCCCCAATAATTTCAAATAAATTAGCCAAGATCCCTGGTTATTTTGTAAACTAGCCGCTAACAGTTAAAAATACGTTTTCTATTAAAATAGCCGAAAGTAGTTTTTATACTAGCTAAGTTTACACATTAGCCTTAACATATACAATTTAAAATAAAAGACACCTATTGTTTTTCTTGTTAGATACAAAAAAATTTGGTCTACAGTAAAAAATTTCTTGAAACTCCTTCTTTTGTTAGGTGCTTCGTATTTTTTGGCCATGGTGTCCCGAAAATGATTCCCCGTTTAACCATTTGGTGTATTTGCGTAACCATAAATATTTTTAGGCTATTTTATAAACCTTTAAACATCAATTTTTACAGCTCGCAAAGTTTGTATAGTAACAACAAATAAAAAACGATTTTTTTAAATATTTGTATATAAACACGCAAAAATTTCCGGGCGATTTAAAATTAATAGACTACCTAAGGTTTTATTTTTATCTTTTAAATATTTATCTAATAAAACCAATAATTAATTCCGTCGCCTTTCTTTCCACAACATGTCTTTAAATATCGTCGTGAAATTAACATTGGACTCGATTCGTCAGAAGGTCGTAACTTTTCCAAGCTTTAATCCCAGCAGCTTTCTTTGCTTTTTGGCGCTGAGCTTTGAAAGGAGATTCGTCGTTAGAATGGCTCGTTCGTCGTCCTCGACGTCTTCAGCTTCCGGATCCTGGAATGACACGAAACCGCTTTCCGGTCGAGATAAGGATGTCGGCTCCAGTAACTCGAACCACCTCTCTACTTTTGCAGTGGAACTTAGCTATACTCAGAAGTTTTGTTAGTGTTTTTCATATTTAAATAGTTGTTTACATTTGCCATATTGCTATTTACATAACCTTAATAATTGTTTTTATTGCATTACTAAAAAGTTTTAAACAAAAATAACCAACATTTTTCAAAATAATTTTTTTAAGTATTCCTAATAATTTTGGGGTTTGATAAGAAGAACGTTGTATATCTTGGTATTGCAATACCATGGTATTGGTATTAATACTAATAAAGATTTTTGGTGTTTATTCAAGTTTTTTAAATATACATTTAAAATTTTATATTTGATTTAATATCATTTTAGTAAACAATGTACAGTTAGTTTACTGTTTGAATATTATATTATCATCCATTTGAAGTTTGAAAAATAAGGGTTACGCATGTATTTTCTTGATTTTTTTACACCCTATACATTTTATGATGACCTTATCATTACCACAATCCACACAACAAGGTCTGTTTTATCTCATGCTAAAAATACTAAAAATCACTGCAACACTGCACAGAGTTTAACGGCGGCCATTTTTGTTGTTTATAATTCTTGTGCTTTGGGTTTGTGCTGTTTAATAATTGTTTTAAACGTTGTGTTTTTTACAGAGGCACTTGTAAGTCTCAAATAAGGCCCTTAAGTGCTAATGACAACCATTTTACTCCTCTTTTATAATAAATATACCTTATTCTATCTGGGCTGTCAAATGACAATTTGAAGGTTAATTTGTGGGTTATAATTTAACCTTAAAATTGACATTTGACAGTTTTATGACAGCCCTAATAGAATAAAGTTTATTTTTTACAATAGAGGAGTAAAATGGTTGTTCTTAGCACTTTAAGGACTCTTTTAAAGCTTACTATAAAAAACACAAAGTTTAAAAAGATTATTAATCTGTATAAACAGAGCACAAACCCAAAGCACAAAAATTGTAAACAACAAAAATGACCGCCGTTAAACTGTGCCGTGTTGCAGTGATTTTTTGTATTTCTAGTACGAGATAGAACAGACTTTTTGTGTAAATTGTGATCATTACTAACAAAAAAAATAAATAAACATATCAAGGGCGTCATATCAGAGGGGCGTAAGCGCTACTATGGTCGGGTTTGGGTTTTTTAGGTGTATGGGCTTATTGGTTCATACGCCTAAGTAAAATGGGTTGATATAGAGTGCTGATGTTCACGAATATATACGCCCTTCTGATATATCAAGTGGATTGATAAAATAAGCCCTTCTGATATGACGCCCTCGATATAATCTATTTTTCCCGAATAAATAAAAAATATAATAGAAAAAAAAAATAGAAAATCATCCCATCGCAGAGGTATTATTTAAAGTCATCAAGCTTTGGGGACACTTTAATGTGTTATTAATTTTCATAAAAAAATCGTCTCACCGTACTATATAACGTGTTGTACGATTACGTTTATATTTTTTATAATAATTATCCTCTTCGGGAAATTAAAATTTCTGATCGAATCGATAAACCAAATTTGTATCTAATCTAATCTATCGAAAAATATAAAGAAAATTTAATTTAAACACTGGACATAAATAACAAAAAAGTTTATTTACAATTAAAATAATTAATTACAAAAACAATAACTTACAAAGAAATATTACACTTGGCAAAAAATTAATATGAAAACAATATGTTTGATTCAATTTGTATGTACAAGTACCTGCAGGTTTACATATTTAATAAAATATTTGTATAAATTGAAAATAAATAATCTTATAATATGGGCAAATATAGAACTTTTACAACAAAATAATTAATTACAAAAACAATAACTTACAAAGAAATATTACACTTGGCAAAAAATTAATATGAAAACAATATGTTTGATTCAATTTGTATGTACAAGTACCTGCAGGTTTACATGTTTAATAAAATATTTGTATAAATTGAAAATAAATAATTTTATAATATGGGCAAATATAGAACTTTTACAACAAAATATTATGCAATTATTAAAAATTGATTTATTAAACATGTATTAAAAATAATAAAAATATGGGTCACAAACAATTTTTTTTATTTAGGTAAAAACTGTTTTCAAATATTTTATTTACATATTATTTTAAATGAAACAATGCATTAGTAAAAAAATAACTGAAACATATATTATAGGCCAAATTATTAAATGCACTACATTTAATAACCCGATTTGATTAATTTTACAAAAAAAAATATACAATAAATTGTATGAAGTTTTTATTTATACTTAACTATTTATCTAATTAAAGCATCAATTTATAATAAATAGTGTTAACCAAGAACTATGAGTTTTTAATAATAATTTTATCTACTCCTACATTGAAGAGCTGTAACTTTATGGCGTTTTAGTCACGGGCTGAAGTTAGCTTTTTTATAAATTGGGGAAAGGTAAGGTTAAATCCGTTGACATTTGACAGATGTCAAATGTTTAACAAATAAAATTGGCTTTAAATTCCAGTGGCGGCTCGTGCCTTCCGCGCTGGGGTAGGCGACGGCCAACAAAACAAACTCTGTTTAAAAAAACTACCACATAACCATCGATGATTCTCATACCATTGCTTTTTAAACGATCGAGAAAAAGTTGAACCATGTTTTTTATCAGGTTTTAAAAGATTTAGATGTGGAATAGGGCGATCATTAATCATAACATCTTTTCGATCGTTTTCATTAAGGCGAGAAAATGGATTTTCAAGTAATGAGCAAATAATGTCATGAAATGGGCCCTCCATTATTGCAAAATAATACCCTTGTTTATTAAACAAGGCTAATAATCAACGCTAATACTACCTAATTCTAATACTAACAAATAATAATAAATAATGATACAGTAATACTTAGCGGGTAATTAATTGCCTGACAGTCACAAAAATAAAGTGAATTTGGCTTAAAACAATAATTATTATTGTTTAACTCAAAAACATTTAATTGACGGAACTAAAATGTAAAAGAAATCTGCTTAAAAACCCTTTATCGTTCGAATTTATCTCAACAGATTTCACTATTTTAAATTAATTATTTATTATATTAATATATTCTTTCAAATAATGTTATTTACAGGACTTTTAATATTAAATTCATATTATATTTTGAACCTCTTGCATTGAGATCGATCGATTACCGGCTTAAAAAAATAACTTACAAGTCGGAAGCCGAATCGGCTTTCGGATTAGCCGAAGGCGAACAATCGTGTCGCCTTAGACTCGCCTACACATCGCAATTTTACCATACGTCAACGGCGTTTCTATTGGTCAGCGGTATAGCGTTCTTCACTTGGTTCACGTGCAAGAATCAAATAAATAGGCGCTTGGGATAGCCGCCTTTGCATGCTTTAGATGCTGATTTAGAGCATAGAAAAATGTGTGAACTATAGCTACTTGACGCATCACGTAACAATTCAATAAAAGGTTTTATTTGCGATAAATAAGATTTATGAATGCAATAAAAATAATTTAATTAAATTTGGTAATTTTATTAATGTTAAATTACTTATATTTATTATTTTACATCCATATTTCCAGGGTAGGCGGCGCCTACCTTGCCTACCCCGACGAGCCGCCACTGTTAAATTCTTCTTTGTGTTCGTCGTAGATAAAATATATAGATAATATAGTATCTAAGCAACTCGATTTATAAACTTCTCTAGACACTCGTTTTTTATTAAACACTCGCTTGCAAGCTTCGCTCGTGCCTAATAAAACTCGTAACTAAAATTGCATTTTTAAAACTTGATACATAATATACTATAATAATTATTCTTAATTTTACTATAAAGTTTTAAACAAAGATTTAAATTAATTAATTACAGCCCACAGAAAAACAAAGTGGTCAGTATCCCTATGTATTTTAGAGCGCTGAAACTGAACTTAAACTTTGTTTATCCCCTACACGTCTGGATTTTTTCCTACAGGTGTGTCCTCGAATCGGGTATGCACTTTTACGAAAAAAATGTTTTTATAAAAAATCCCGCTTGTTTCCGCATTCCCATAAAAAAATGTAAACCAAAAGTACATGGTGCTCAGAAATTAAGAAAAAATAAGAATACTTTAAGGGAGTAGTTCCATGCTCCTGATTGGATTCCCATAAAAAAAATTGAATTAAATGAACAGGGTGCTTGAAAATTAGAAACACATAAAAATACTGCAAGAGAAAAGGTACCTAACCTTTATTTATTATTTTATAAAAACATTTTATAAAGTTGTTAACAATTTAAATTTAAGTCTTAATGCAAAACAAGTGTTTTTACTTTTACTTTTAATTGTATTTATTTATTTCACAGGCCCACAAAAAAGTGGTCGCCATAAATATTACCATGTATGTATTCCCCCCCTGAAACTGAATATGAACTCCGGATTTTTTTTTTAAACGCAGATTGGGAAATTCTCTTTTAAAGGATTTTCATAGTTTCTTAATTTCTGAGTACCCAGTACATTTAATTCAATTACAATAAAGACATAATAAAAACGTTTTTCATATTGACAATCCGATCCGAACTGTGGAAAAAATCCAGACGGATAGGGTCTAAACTGAGTTAAGATTCACTTTGAAAGGGCGAAAATAAATAGGAATATCATGGTAATATTCATGGCGCAGACCACCCTTTTTTGTGGGCATGTGATATAAATAAATAAATTTAATTAAATGTTACAATAAAATTTAGGATTTAGACTTTAATTTAAAATGTCAATGACTTCCTTTTATTAAATTATTATATAACATAAAAAACAAAAGTACTTCTCTCTCAAAGCATTTTCATGTTTTCTTAATTTTTGAGCACCCTGTATATTTGATTAAATTTTTTATTGGTATCTAACGTAACAATCATAAGTTTTTTTAAGCATATGCATCTTTTTTTCTTAAATGCAGGGTAGAGGATTTTCATGTTTTCTTAAATTTTGAGCACCCTGTACATTTGATTTAAACAATTTTAGTGGAAATCCTATTTTTTAAACAAGCAGAAGTTTTTATGCAAATTACCTACTTGTTTTGTAAAACGTATACCTTA